AGGCCAGTGGTCCCCGCTCTGTGGGCCGGGGTGTGAGGAGGCCAGTGGTCCCCGCTCTGTGGGCCGGGGTGTGAGGAGGCCAGTGGTCCCCGCTCAGCGGGCCGGGGTGTGAGGAGGCCAGTGGTCCCTGCTCAGCACGCCTCACCTCATCGTAGACACTCTCGATCTCATTGAGCAGGCTCTTGGAGCGCAGCGCCTTGGTGTCGTTCTGCTTGAAGTTGACGGCCTGGTGGTCCAGGGACTTGAGGTAGGCCTTCTCATACTGCTCCCGCCAGATCTTGTTGAAGCCCTGCTGGGCCTCCCGCCACTCCTCCTCCTTGGCCTTCAGCCTGTGGGGAGCGGAGCTCAGCACCTGATGCCCAGACCCTCCAGGAACCCCAGGGGAAGGGCCTATCCTCCTCCCAACTACACATGTGGTCTGCACCTCAAAGAGCAAGCTACCATGTGGGAGGCTGAGGCAGAGGATGTCCAGTTCTAGGCTGGCCTGGGCTATAGTGAGAAACCCCCATCTCAAAAAACAATTAAAAAGGCCAGGGAGTGGTGGCACACACCTTTAATCCCACCACTGGGGAGGCAAAGGCAAGCGGATCTCTGTGAGTTCAAGAACAGCCTTGTTTATAGAGCAAGTTCCAGGACAGTCAGGGTTGTTATACAGAGAGAAACCCTGTCTGGAAAAAACCAAAACAAAAAAGAGCCCAGCATCATGGTGTAGGATGTCATACCAGCACTCAGGATCTGGAGTTAAAAGGATGCCGGGGGCACATGGTAAGTCCAAGGCCTGGGCCACATAAGACCCTATCACCAAAACAAACGAACACACAAACAAACCAAAACCAAAAAACACACAGAGGGAGAGGGAGAGGAAGGGGGCAGTGGTCCCACAAAAACAACATGGCTACTTTAAAAAAAAATGTATAATTTTATACGCATGAGTGCTTTGTCTGCATGTATGTGCACCACATGCATGCCTGGTGCCCCTGGATCACAGATGGCTGGGAGCTGCCATGTGGGTCCTCTGGAAGGGCAGGCAGTGCTCTCAGTTACTGAGGGTCTCTCCAGCAGTGGCTCCCCCCTTCCCCAGCGCCCAGCTGCCCGCTTAGCCGGTACCACCCTGAGGAGGCAGCAGGCTGGGGCGGATTGTTTTATGGTCAGTCTGCCCTTCACATCCCAGGACTCAACCAAGCCTAAGAACTGGACACACAGCACACGTACTGCCACAGGCGTTCTAAGTCCCCAGGGGTGATGGACAGGCATGCACAGGTGTGGGCTTATGTAAGCACTGACTCAAATTCTAGAAGGGTCTGGAGGTCCCAGAACCCACCCCTCCAAAGAGAGACTGCGCGTCTACACCTGGAGCCAACTGTGACCATTAGGTGTCCGGGAGCCTGGCTGCCGAGACTTGGCTCAGGACTGGAGGGGGAGACTGGGTCAGGTGACACCATTGGTAAGGAACCCTAGAAGCTCCCCTGAATGCCAAGTCGGGGAGGGAAGTGAAGGTGGGGACACCTTTTCAGAACGACAGGCACAGCGGTGACGGGGTTCCTCTTGAGGCTCTCGATGACCTCGGGGGCCTTGTCACCATAGATGCGGTGGATGGCCCGGCGCTGGATCACCTCCGACGTGCCACCCAGGCAGTCATCCAGGCGGAGCTTCTCCTGGTCCTCAGGTGCCATCCTTGACAACTTCTTCTGCACGCTCTCCAGCACTCGGATGGTGGCCAGGTTGGTCTCCAGGACAACATCTAACTGCAGAGAGGGGCAGGCATGGTCACCCTGGGGGCCCCATTATCGTGTGAAGGTGATCGTGGTGTATGGAGGGTGGTCAGGAGTTGTAGATGGAGCCATTAAGTGTGAGTGCCCACCACAGCACACTTGTGTGGGAGGGGTGGAGTTCCAACAGCACAGGAGTGGTCCATACCACCTCATGGGGTGCGTGGGCACACAGTGGCCTACCCTGTGACATCATTTGTACTTTATACTCTGTGCCAGTGAGTGCAGTACCCCTGCAGGCCAGAAGGTGGACCCCTTAGAGCTGGCATAACAGGAGGCTGGCTGTAAGCTCCCAGAGCGGCTCCCAGAACGGGAACTACGGTCTCTCCAGAGCGGTCAGCGCTCTTAACTGCTGAGTCCTCTTCCCAGGCTCCTGCTTACTTTCTCATCTTTTTGAGACAGGGCTTTGTGTCATAGCTCAGGCTGGCATGAACTTAGGCCTCTTGCCTTTGTCTCCCATGTGCTGGGATCAAGGGCATGTGCCACCACACAAAATGACAAAGCAGCAGAGGATGGGACAGAGGAGTTCACGGGGTGAGGGAAGGGGCAGGCTGAGTGTGGCTATGTGGTGATATATTGTGTTCCAAAATGGACAAGCAGGACACAAAAGAAAGGACTGACGAACCTTGCCAAGACAAGGCAGGAAGGCCCTTTAGAAAGTCCTGCTTCACAGCTGACTCTGTCAGATATGCTAGGCCTGTAGTCGAAGATGATGCCCCAATGTTGCAGAGGAACCTCAGGTGACTGTCCAGGCAGCCAGCTGTCTCTGTCATAACTCACATTTTTTGGAAGTCGCTTGTTATACTTCCTGCTTACTTAGGTAATATTATTTCCTTCTCAGGTCTCTGATGCAGCTGAAGATTAGTTATAGTTATATTTTTCCTTGTAAACAAATTCAGAAAAGAAACTTACTACAGAGGTGTAAATGTCTAAGTTTGAAAGATATAAAAAGATAGTTTTTGGTTGGTAATACAAGTTAGGAGAGAAAATGAATTAAGTACATCATTTTGGACTCACCAAAATAGGATTAATAATGGAGTATTTTCTCTGAATTTGTCAAATGTTAATGGACTAGACATTGTTAATGTAATTCTTGACTGTATATATTATATATACTTATTGTATATAGTTTTTCTTTTATTAGTCATAACCTTTTATTATTTTAGACAAAAAAAGGGGAACTGTGATGATATATTGTGTACCCTAATAAACTTGCCTGAGGATCAGAGGCAGAGCCAGCCTCTAGATTAGACACAGAGGTCAGGCAGTGGTGGTACACACCCTTAATCCCAGCACTTGAGATCTCATGCCTTTGCTTGGGAAGCACACACGCCTTCAATCCCAGGAAGTAATGTAGCAGGGGAGAGAAAGGTCCATAAGGAGTGAGGAAACAGGAACTTACTCTCTTTAGGCTGAGGATTTTGTAGAGGTTGAACTAGTGGCTGGCTGTTCTGCTTCTCTGATCTTTCAGCTTTCACCCTGATATAAGGCTCTAGGTTTTTTTTATTAAAAGACCATTTAGGATTCAAACAACATGGCTATTGATTATTAGAACAGCAGAGAGATCAGGGAGTCTGTGGGGCTCCAGGCCTTGACTCCACAAGTGACAGAATCACACCACACACACACACACACACACACACACACACACTTGCCACTACAGTCTGATTATCTGCCCCTCCCAAATTCACACTGAAGTTTAGAGGTTGGTATGGCAGTATTAACATGACCCCAGCACATGGGAGGCAGAAGGAAACCATGTGTTCCAAGAGAACCTTGTCTCAGAATACAGGACTTCAAAGAGGTGCTTCAGGCACAGGCTGTCCTCATGGGTGGGCGGCACTGCCCAGGAAGGAGGACATCAGCCACAATAGGCCTCCTTTGTGTCCCTCCCACCGTGGGACACCAAAGGCAGGCTTCCCCAGGCATGGCCTTCACAATCCACTTCCCAGCAGCTGCCTTGCTCATAGGGCTCTTGTCATAGTGTAAGATGGACACACACACACACACCAGTCACACACACACACACACACACACCAGTCAGTCACACACACACACCAGTCACACACACACACACACACACACACACACACACACACACACACACACACCAGTCAGTCACACACACACACCA